TTTTGCGTGCTTCTAACATGACCGGCTGGAAAAGGGTGCGGTTTGAAGAAATAGCAGGATTTATCATTACGGTTCTGTACATTCTGTACACCTACACAAGTTTATCCAAAGCCCTCGGGAACTTCTGCAACTGAAGTTCTCGCAATGTTCCTATTTCTTGGGATTTTTTGGGGTTACACGAGAAAAGTTTCCTCAAAGACCTCGGGAAGCTCCCACAAGTTCTCTGAGAGTGTCATTTAGCGCTATCAGGCAGAGGCCCGGAGTGGACAGTGAGAAGACCGTTCAGTCATATGCCGCGATCAGTACGACGTACTGCCACACTAAATTGAAGGTATTCCGTCAGCTAGACTGACGAGAATAATGCACACAAGCGGAAAATTAGACAAAAGGCTTAGTTGCTCGTTAGTAATGTCGACTCCCCAACTGCGGCGAGGCGGATCCGTGATGATGAACAAAGATCAATGATCGGGTGTGGCTCAGAACAGGGCAACCGCAACGCAAGAGGCGCTAGCGAAGCTCTGCCTCGCTAAAGTTCAGGAGCTACTCATAACTTACGAAACGTTTGGATTCACTTCCCTTTGAGGTGCGACAGCGCGCAGAACTGCACAGTTCCAGGGCTTGAAGACAAGAGGATTGATGAACGGCTGATTTCGATGAGAAGAACAAGGAAACAGATTTTTTTCTTCTGCAAAGTTTGCTTAGGTTTTCTAAAGCTGCTTAGAACTAGAATTTACTTGTTTACTTCATTGAGTCTGTATCCCAACCATGGTTAGGATAAGTTGCATTTCAATTTATGAAATTTTTGTCAAAAATCATAATTCTTGTTCATCCATTCATTTGCTAGGCGAAATCCCTGATAGCAGTCATCATCGATTTGCGATAGAGCCGTCATCAACGATTGCCCGGTAGTACAGCAAGTGCCGCTAGCCGGTCTCCAACTATGGTCGTGCAAGCTGTCGCAGTCACATACCCGTTTAATCAAACTTGCTCTCGTGTAGAGTAAAAAAAAATTTCAAAGAAGAAAATTTCGCCTCAAAACCTTTTGTTGGGCTTTACCGAGTTAAACGCATCACCTCTGCTTGACAGAGGGTTGCACTGGTTCCATTATTCCACTGATTTCCTCCTTGGTCTTGATCTCCTTATTCATTTGATTCAGTTGATACCCACCGAAGATACTGTTCATAGCAAAAGAATTGCAAGCAACCACCCATTTCAAAAGCTTTCCATGTTGAAGCGGTAACCATGAACGGTTACAACTTTCCATTAAAATAAATGCGAGATCGACAGTCGTTGGATTAATTATGGTTTATTAACTTCAAAAAGAGTGATTAATGCAATTTTCTTTTTAAAAAAATTTATTTCTCTCCTGATTGAACTGAACAATGAAGGGTCTGTGCAACTATCTCTTTTTTTCCCACATTCTTTCGAAACATCCTTTTCGCCTACGTTTTGACTCAAATTCCATGTCTTGAATGTTCCAAGCCAAAGAACTCTGCCTGTCAAAGGCAATGTGGATAGATGACATGCGATTTTTGAAGAAACCACACGTCGGACCCTTTCGTCATATGTCGAATTAAATGCTAGTAGTATGGATCATGCAAATTTGGCTCAAAAGCTTGGCTACTACTCTAGCCGGATGTTGTTTAACCTCTGTCTCTCATCGCGCATAGCCTCTTAAAGGTAATGGAGGTTGAAGAAAGCAGTTCTACAGAACACATGTGCACTCGGGTACACCTGTTGCACGAGGATCAATGCAAAACCGAAGTGCTTTATTCGCAAACTAATTGACTGTTCAAACAACGAAAGCGTGGGTTGTTCCACATGTTGCATTGTTTTCAGCTTGCTGAGAACAAAAAGTCAAATTTGACGGGAAAAGCACTATTCGACTGCACAAGCATTTGATGTAATTGCCTTCTGGTTGGATATAAAAAATTGACAAATGTGGACAAAATTATCAAAAATGAAATATTTTTGCCTCTTTCTTGTTGTAAGTGTCCACTGTCTAGCAGACTGTCAATCCAAACAAAAATTTAGATAATACTCCCACTTACAGATACTCCCGTTTTTTATTGTTGCTGCTGCTAGAAAGGACTGTAAAAAACCCGATAACTTGAACAGGAAAATTATTAAATATCTGCGCGCGGAAGCTAAAAAGGTGATCGCTCCTTAACTCAGATCTATCATTCATGTAGGTGCAAATATAGCGCACTCTATCATTGACTAACTTTGAGAACTGCTCTTCCTAGAATGTAAATTCTAAATTTTACAGGTGGAATACTCGTGCAAACATACAAAAGTAGCACATCTAGTTTTGGACAATACAAAAGTTCAGCCTTTTATATATGGCTACGTAACTTCTACATACACGTAAAGTTGACCATATTTCACATCTTCATAAATGCAAGTTATGCAAATAAATCCATTCATTACAGTGACGTCAGCGAATATTATGTTGGTTTGTGGCTAAGAGTGATGATAAGAACGGTATGTTTATGATAGCTTATAGCATAAGTTCCTTTCGTTTTTTGTTGCCTTGTGTTCGAAGTAGGTTTTTGTGGAATTTTGGCCTTTGTTTTTGCTTACTCTGATATCAAATTTTGATTTGATCTTCACTATGACAAGATTGCAGAGCTAAAAATATAGGGCTCAAATGCGATCTTACCTAGAAAATACGTTCCTGTAAGAAAATCTCTACAATGTGCTGGTCAGGGAGTTCACCATAGGGTTCACCAAATAAATCTATAATGAGATAGCATGTGCAGAGATTGCTTTCATTGAAAATTGTCTTGCATGAATAAAATGCTGTTAAAAACTAATGCTTTCAAGAGCTTTCATAAAACTAAGAACATTCTCTGTATAAAGCAAGACGCCTTCTTTTTTCCAAAAAATGTACGCGTGTACAAAGCGCCGTCAAAGAGCGAATTTTTCTGGCCTCCTGAAAAAATTTCTATGCCTTGAAGACGTATTCTCGCTACCTATCGATAGCTACTACGCGTGCTTGTTACTTCTTAATAGGGAAGTCGCTACGCCAAAAAAATTTAGGGAAAAGTCTTAGCCTCGTTATTCTCTCCAATGGATTTTTTGTAAGGCTTAGTGTATGTATAATAGCCGGAAGCTTGCTCAGTCCAAGGAGATTGGGATCATCAATGAAGAGAGATCCTAAAATAAGCTATATCTGAGCTTGAGATTTGCAAGGGAACTTATAGAGCAAACTAGTGCTTATAAAATCAAATGATGCCAATTTCTAAGATTGGGAAATAACTTGTCATGGCACATTTACCTAAGAGGTCTCAAAATGTCCTATTGATCTTTGATAGGCCCTTGTCTCGGTGTCTTGCCCTTTCGTAAATAATTGATCACTTTTTCATTAGAAAGTACGGACTTAATTAAATCAAAATAAATTACAATAAAACTTTCACACTTTCAAGCGAGAAACCATTGCCGTTTTATAGATCAAAGCCAGGGAAGTCTTATAATTTTTCTCACATACTGATCACAAGAAATTTGCCAATAATCAAAATATTCGTTTCTTGATAGATACTTGCAGCAAAGGTTAGAACTCACTGAATTATGGTCATTAGAGGGATCTTTTTGCGAAATTTCTGACCAAGGAAAAGCCTTTAGTCAAGGGGGCCCTTCCAAATAAGTTTCATTCTATTTGAACAGCACTGAATGCTGATTCCTTCTCTAGACGTTGCTTTGTGAGTATTTTTGAAAAGAAAAGTATAGGAAGAATTTGGTTAATACTATTACACTCTTTCCAACGATGGATCATGCTGTGTAAAGAGAATATTAGAACAATTGCGTAAGCTTATGTAGATACACTTGAACATTAAGCAATTCTAAGCGATTTTGTTCCAGATGCGCGCTCATTTTTTACAATCTAGAAGTACTCATATCTAGCACTCATATCTCATATCAGAGGCTGACACGTATGGAAACAGATTCAAAACTATTGTTCGATCTCCTTAAAGTGGTTTGAGTATTATTTGAAAGGGCCATTTCGACTAGGAACACTTCCCTTGTGAATTTCCCTATCATAGCGTTGACTTCATATATCTTTCTTCCTACAAATGGCTTATCGATTAACAGGGCTTTCAATTGTACAAAATCAAAAAATTGCTCTAAGCTTCTGGGCAACGTTAAACTTGTTACCCAGAAATTCGTGAAGACGGCATCCAATGTTGGAATATTAATCAGACAAACGCTACCGTGACTTTCACCTACGAAAAAAATATTGCAGAAGTTGTAGTACTATGACATTAATCTTTACTTTCAGATGAAAAGGCTAGTTGGTGGAAAAAAGAGGAAGGTTGGGATTGGCTGTGCTGAAAAGGGCTACAGAATCACTTGCGCATTATATGCAGGAAAATCCCTGTTGAGTTTACGTAAAAATCGACTTCCTCTGCTATAAAACCAAAAATATGCGAAACCGCAGATGAGATTATAGTTTTTTCGTCGTTTGCAAACGGTTTACGTCATAGTGTATTCTAAATAGAAATAAAGATTCAACGAGAATGTCACGTCAACAGATAAAAAATCGTAAAGATCGTTTTAAGATATACAAGTAAACCCGCCTTCCGTGAAAGTTTCTGGATACTAGATTTCAGTAAGCTTATGACCCCAAGGTGTAAAAAAAAGGGGCGTAAATGTTAGTAATATTGTTGTACTGGACTTCGATTGATTCCGAAGTCTCTAAAAAGTGTAAATTTTTCCATATTTGTCTCAGTGATAAATGAAAAATGCGTATTGTAAAGAAACAGCTAGTGGAGAAATGGAAATATATGTGTTTAAAGCAAGCTACTGCTTGACGAAGGCGCAGAAGCAGTATTAGTTGAGCGGGCGCATATCCTCACCGTTGTAAATCCTGCGCTTTTGCGCTCTACGGCTAATATAGCCGCGTTCGCGCGCAAAGATATTGCGCTTTCGTCATGCAGCAGCCCATACATTTAAGGATGTTCATTATGGTAGCTGAAGTGCACGGACAACATCGATGTCAAAGTACTTTATAAGTAATAAACAAAAAACCAAACATAATTGATATATGTACTAATAAACATGCTTTGCTTTCCATACAACACTATAATAAATCTTTCAAATAATACTCAGCAGCCTTTCGACGTTTCTCTCTTTGTTCCATAATTTCTTTGAGATTCGAACATAAGGTGCTGATTAGTCGTGTTTGTAGGAAATCATCGCGAAGACTATAGCCTCTCTTACGGCGCTTCATTCGACGTCGTTTTCTGATGGCGAGATCAAGAATCCGAGACATAGTCTTTTCTCGCATCATTTCGTCATCGTAGTCGCTCTCCGACTGTAATGCAGTTTTGAGTACCGCAGATTAGCCTCTAGTCATCAAAATTCTAATGGTAAATAGCTAGATTATCGTGTGGGGGAAGATGAAGGAACCCTCATCATAGAAACATACTTCTTTTCAAATACTTATTACACAGTGATACTCATCAAAGAGGAAATCTTCCTTAGGCAATAATGTACGGCGTCCCAAGAGCAAGATAACCAATCGTTAATAACTGTCTTCTCAAAAAATCTTTTGCCTAAAAGGGAATGGTCAAGAATTATTTCCGGCCATTTCAAACGAGCTACTATATAACAACGTACTCGCCTTGTAATTCTGATTTATCTCAAAAATTGTACTATCTTTCGAACCTGGATGAACCTGGAAGGAGCTCTGAGCGTTGAAATGTGCGAATTTTTCAATATATTCTATAGCGCATGTTCCACGAAAAACGTTTCAAAAATTATTCTTCATTTGGTGATTTCGCTTCTTTCTTGTAATCAGAGTACAATCACAAAATTACCCTCCCCAGGCTGTCCTTCAGCGAACTATGTTCTTAGGGAGTTGAATAGCCTCTGATATTTGAGAGCCGATAACTCCTTCCACATAATTGTTATGCGGTTAAACATACATTTGTAATAGCGCTTCAAACTAAGTCTTATAATATACAACTTGTTTGGAATACCGAGTTAAGTCCTAACATTTCCTTGTTAGCTATAAATAGTATTCAGTAGAACATCGTACAGTACGGAGCAAATCAACCACCGCTTTTTCATTACTGTAGGATTACGGTAGGAACTTTCAAAAAGTGTTTGGGCCATCAATGTCTACATTCTATTTAGGAAATTAGGCTAACCGGGTGCTAGCATGAATATTTCGCACTCCGTAAGGGTTATTCTCATGTAATGTCAGGTAATCCGCAGCAACGTTTTTTTCAGCATGTTTCAAAAATGTGTTTACATTATTTAAGATGCCTGAAAAACTCGTAACAATCTGTCTAGTGAAATCAGCAAGTCTGAAGATGCTGCAGCTCTTAAATTTTTTAAGACATTTATTTCAAACTTCCCATTCTATTTCGCATTGGCCCAGTGTGCTGATAGTCTACGTTGATTATAGAGTAAAGAAGTTTAGATTACTTCCTCAGATCTCAAAAAGTGAACTTTCATCCAGTTATATATTAGAATTACTCTCGAAGAATTTTTCCTAGTAAAGCTCTAAATTTAGAAAAGATGTTTCTACCTCTTCCTGTTAAGTCCTCAGTCGTGATTTTAGAAACAATTACTTCATTTTTGCACTGCTCGTGTTTTGTGATGGAAAAATGCCAAGAGGAATTGTAGAAAAAAACACTCATTAGCTTATCTAATTTCCTTTTATTTTTTTACAACTGTCTAGGTACTGAAAGAGCAAATTAAACATACTTCTATTAGGAGAGCTGATTTGAAAAACAATCGTGAAAAAGATTTGAGCTACTCTGTGATCGCTTGAGCACCATTGCGGTCGCTGTCAAGCAGTATAACCAAACTACAATGTAATTATTTATATAGAATAAAATCAATATTTGAAGTAAAGTCTTTTTTGAACGAAAATTGTCGATGAAATGAAATGAAATATAATGTTCGTGGAATTTGATCGAGTTGTAAAAATAGACTCACCCATTCCATTCCAATAATGTCGCGCTTTAGGAAAGAAGCAGAAATAGTTGAAAATATGACCAATACATAAACAATTACGTATAGATGGAATGAATTGGGGGATCCCCACTAATTATGCCTTGTCCTAGGCAGTTTTGCCTGGGTCACTTTGTGACATGACATAGCCGTTGGCTACATTTTCACAGAGTAGCCGGCATATCTCAAGTGTTTTTTACTTCAATGTTTTGCTTTATACATTGAAAATTGTGCATCATCTCAGCTGACATTTTGGTTTGATGATCCAATTGTTTACAGGCTGTCAAATTGAATAGAATCTAAGTCAAAATTATGCAGAGGCAAATTTTGACATTGTCACCTATTATTTTTTTTTATTTCAAAGTCTCTTGTGTTCGCAGAATCTTTTTCAAAACTATTTACCCCCTACAGCTTCGAACCTGCGCACCTGCTTCATGACTTAATATAGAAACAAGCAGAACTTATGCAACATATGCAGCAGTTAAATAAGGAAGGTTTTTGAAATCAATAAAAAAGTCTGCAGTATTTGCCGATTATCTAGATTTCTACAGCTTGTATAACCACACAAGCTTCCTTGCTCTAAAAAAAGTATAAGCTTTGTTTGAAATTCAATTCCACATAATGGGGGCTATTACTGTGGTAGGGCGAAGATTAGTAGTCGATAGAAAAAAGAAGAGAAAATTTTTGGGATCCAAAATATCTACTCTATGCTCAGCTGTTTTTCTTCTTCATGCTCAAAACTAGAATGTTGTAGTGCAGCCTAATTTTTTTCAAATAAGGAACCTTTAAACTTGTAAATCAACGTTCAAGGTCCAGCTTCTAGGACAAGATTCTGATTCGATTCGATTTACCAAAAAAACTACTAAGAGTTCTAATCTCTAGTGGCGCAGTTTGTCGGCATTGCACGGTAAACTCTGGCATAAGCATTTCTGATCATCACTGCATCATAGTCGAACCAACCTTATGGAAGAAATTGGATTTGGAATCAAACTGCTAAGATCGGTATTGTTTGACATACCTGAATCCAGAATACTGGTACGTATGGACGCAATCTCCCGCATTGATATCCGGATATCCAGGTGTCTACATTTGGAAGTTAGAGTTTTGCTAAATTTTGATGATTTGAAAAAATAGTAGAAAAATTTAGAAGTCTCACTAGACATGTTCCATCTGTCCATTAAAAGAATCCATTGACGCTTTTCAAACCGATCCAAACTTACAATCAGTTCTTGTTGGAAGCACTGAAATTGGTCCTAAGGCAGATTGAATCTGGGAATTGACGCAAAGGTGCTTACTTGTTCATAGGATTCGTGACTTATCGTTGCTCTCCACTTTGGCTAGCCTCGATGCGACGATTTTTCAAAGCTTTCAGCAGCTAAAATGATTCAGCTTAAAGTGGTCCAATGTTTTGCTGATAAAGCCACCAAGTTTTCTAGGCTTATTAATAAACTGACGACTCTGAATTTGTTCCTTTACTGCCATCGTAATTGAAGTTAGAATTATCAATCACTAGCTGTCTTACCCGGCTCGACCCGGCCCTGAAAACACTGTAATAAAGGTTCCATCCCTATCCCTGTACAGGCTTTCCCTGTGCCCACTTCTACATTTCATTTCTCGTTCCCTGTATTGTTTTCGAAGTCAGCATGCCCACTTATCCCCCTGTGCCGACTCCCACCCCTTCAACTCAAATCTTAAAAAAATCGATAAAAAGCGATAAAAGTAATAGGTAATACCAAAAACTAATATTGTATTCATGATCAGCATGCTCACTTACCCCCCCCCCCCCCATGCCAACTCCCAGCCCTATAGCTCAAACTTTGCAAAAATTGATAAAATCGATAAAAGTAATCGATAATTTTGAAAACTAATACTGTATTCGGAATCCCCTTGCTCACTTACCCACCTGTGCCAACTCCCAGCCCTGGAGCTCAAACTTTGCAAAAAATCGATAAAAATCGATATCTATCGGACGAAAAGTCTTATGACACTTGCCGGGGCCCGAAGTGTATGTGTGCCAAGTTTGGTCCGGATCGGCTCAGAAATGGAATTTTCTATTCGGAACATACGTACACACATACAGACAGACAAACAGACATTCAGCTTTATATATAAGATATTGTCTGATGATTGGAAGGCGGTCAAATCAAATTTTTTTCTATTTTTAGCCTTATTTCTTTACACAAATGTTACTCCTTGCTCTGTCACTCATGGTTACAGTCCCCGGTGTAAGAATAGCGTTCAATTTCGATCCTCGCTTAAAGTTTGAGCAGAGAACTTAGAAAGATTCAAGGCTTTACATTCAGTCGAAATGGAAAGCATCAAGCATTAATCCATACAAGGAAATGTTCCAGTACTTAACTTTTTGGTATGTATGAAGCTACTGAGCAACTGCTCACTTTCAAATGATATATTGTTCCGTTAAGGTTCTGCAAATTTCTGTACTAAATTGCACAAAAGCCATAGTTGCAGCTTCACCTCATTGGGTTTTCTTGAAAGTATATGTTTGCTTTACTAGCACGAGGCTTCCAACATTCTAAGGGTCAACTATGCAGTGAGAGCATATATAACAGTATACCTTATTGTTTTTAGAGAAATTTCTCGAAGACTATGCGATCCCTGTACATTGATAGCATTCTCGCCAATACTCGCTCCATGGTGGATGTTTCTTTTTGCAATGTTCATGGCACTACAAAAGTATCAAAATACTCAAGCCAATTACTGTGAGATTAGAAAACTTACGTAGCGTGAGTGTTTTTTGATACTCTCTGTTAAAAAACATTGTGCATATGTCGGGAAACAAATCTTTGAAAAGATCCAAGAAACAGGCAGAAATTGTATCTTATATATAAAGCTGAATGTCTGTTTGTCTACAAATAGGAATACAAAGTCTGTTTGAATACATAGGAGAAACGGGACGATCCCTCTCAGTTCGTATCAAAGAACACTTGGATGGGCTCAGTAAGTCAAGATCATCTACGCCTTTGGGAGCCCATCGCCAGAAAGATCATGCCAACGTTTCGTTCGAAGTGAAGGTCACGATCTTGTCGTACGAACCCGAAATTATAGCGCGCAAAACTCTCGAGGCGTTGTGGATATCCGCAAGAAATCCAAAATTAAACAGAAAAGAGGAGTGCTTATCGGTAACAAACGAGCTCGCACCTTACCAAAGCTTATGTAAATTTGACCTACGTAGCTGAGGTTTGCGTTGGCGGGTTGCGTTGGCGGGCCCTCAGGCCTTAAATAGCGTTGTGGCTAGTATACCTCACTATCGGGTGGCCTTTGGCAAAATCTCGTTATCTCTAAGGTGAGTATCTCTTTGCGACCTAACATGCACGTTTTGGCTTCATCTGATCTTGACAATCGATTCTGTAGCGAGATGAGGCGTTTGGAGGGACGTGTCATAAATGGTTTTTGACTTTTCCAGGCTCTGACGAAGGCGTGGACGCCGAAGCGTCGGCCCAATAAATATCAATACCATCTTGGTCAACGCTAGAAAACAATCAATAATCATGTCTGTTTGTCTGTCTGTCTGTACAGGGCTCCCAAATTGCAGAGTCGTTTGCACCAGCGGTCGCGCGACCGCGTCGCGCCCAGGCATCAATGGCGCCGCCTCGATCGATGGCGCCGGCGCCGGCAAAATGCCCGGGAGCGACGCCGCGCGACCGCTGGTGCAAACGACTCTGCAATTTAGGAGCCCTGTATATCTGTCTGTCTGTATGTCTGTCTGTCTTTCTGTCTGTACGTATGTTCGAATAGAAAATTCCATTTCTGAACCGATCGGGACTAAACTTGGCACACGTACACTTCGGGCCCCGGCGGGTGTCATAGGCTACTTTTCGTCATCGATCGATATCGATTTTATCGATTTTTGCAAAATTTGAGCTACGGGGCTGGGAGTTGGCACAGGGGGTAATCGAGTATGCTGATTACGAATATAATAATGACAGGGCCGGGCGGAGCCGGGTAAGTCAACTAGTGCAACAATATTAGAAAGAGAATCAATTTGTATGACATGGATATTTTCATGACATGGATCTGAAATCAAACGCTATAAGGAAGGCAACCTTTTTTAGCAGGCGATGATTCGATAACCGATGTAGTTGATAGGAGCTATATGATAATTGCTACACCGCTTACACGAACGAACGGTCGAACTCTAAGATTCTGATTCAAATGCTAAGTTCAGAATCTTAGGGCTTGCGACCTTTTCAATTTGGGCCATCTGGCAACAAGGAAGCTTTGATCTGTATAAATAAAGCTGAATGCTTGTTTGTCTGTATGTTCGTACGCGAGTAGCATGTTCCAAATATTTCATTGGAGACTTGTGCTACGAAACGCTTATCGAGATATGATTTCAGAAAAATTTTGACCCACAAATTTCTAGCTCAAACATAACCTGTCTTTATGGTCCCTTCAATTTCGCATAAAAATCATAAACATATTGCAATCGCGGAGCTTTTACTCTGTATAGTAAGATGAGAGCTAGAACAACCGCTACTAGAAGAACGAAAAGATTTCCTGGTTTGTCAACGGTGAACATAATCAAAAATATCAAAAATTGCATTCTTTGCCGCCCCAGAAAGAGTAAAATAAGTGCGTCCTTACGGATTTTTCAGCGCAAAATTTTTATGAGAAAGTTTGATGAAATCCAAAGTTAGCGGTACTACTCAGTCGACTATGGGCTACACCGTGAGCAGTGCTTGTGCAATTCAGCTATATTCCAAATCAAGTTATGCTTGTGCAAAGTGAAGGTTTCTACAAGGAGATGCTCTTTGATTTTCGCCTATAAGATTTTTCTCCGCTGTCACTGCAATAATCTTGAAGGGTGCGCAGAATAGCCAAAGATGTGCAGATTGTAATACAGTTTATAGCATTTGCAAAGATTATTTCTGAGAAGAGTTACGATGAATCAAAGTTGAAGTTCGAAAACGGGTAGGACTTTTGAAACAAGAGTACAAAAAAACTGCGATAGTTCTCCAAGCGTTCGTCTAAAAATTGGCCAAAATTATTCCAAATTCTGCAAGGGGACCGCAAGAAATTAGCGAACTATTTTTTCGTTGCCCGCTTGCTCAAAATTCGCATG